TGCATATGCAGTTCATCTAAGTGGTTATCATTGGGAGTAGACCAAGCTGCTGAAGAAAATGCATCATAGGAGAGCATAAAAGGGCACAATTCGAAGACGGTCATCACTGCCCCAGAACTAGACAAGTCTCAGCTAAAGTCACTGACTTACACCGATCTCAGGTTGCTGCTGTTGGGCTGGACCAGACTCCTAGTGGACCCTCCAGCAGACTCCCGGGAGATTATCAACTGTATGAGAGGAGATCGCCCAACTTTCTCAATGGCTGATGCTGGTGGATTTGAACCACCAGAGAGAGGCTGTACTGAGATTGTTGTGGTGGTGGTGTTCCTGTCGAGTGGGAACCAACCCATAGCTGACCCTCCAGTTTTCAGAATCACATTCGAGGAGACTGCTCATCCTTCTCTCAATAGAGCAGCTGATGGATTTGAACCACTTGCCTTCGGGATTGCAGCACAACTTCTTGCCAGTAGGCCCCAGAGCTTCCGATTTGGGGATTAGCAGTGTATCCACCAAAGAGCTCACTGTTACACTTGTAGCTGTTGCTAAAAATACCATGAGTCAGCATCTTTATTTATAATGCCTGTTGGCAGATTTCTGGTGGCAAGCCATATTCATGGGGAGAAGTGGAGCCCATGTGAAATAGACATTCACTGACCAGTGTGAAACAATGCTTTCCACCAGTGTCCTCCATAGTGAGAGCTATTCTGATAGAAGTCCTCACGGAGCAACGAGAGCAATTAGAATAACTAAGTCCAAAGACCAGCCACTCACTCCACTGTAGCAGTCTGCTTCCATGAAGATGGACAGCCTTGAAAACCTTATCACACAGATCCACTGTCTTATAGAGATGCTGCTATGGGTTGGAAGCACCAGCTCGCCAGTAGTGGGTTTGTTTTGGGGGGGTGTTGATTCACCCAAATATCTCCCACTTAGAGAGAGTAGAACGGAAAGTGAAAATCCACCTCATGTTCATTTCTTAGCTACGGGGCTGGCATCCAATGCCCAGTTCCTGCTGACAACTTCTGTTTTCCATTGTGTGTTTTACCTTATGAGAATTGCCAAGAAGCAATTGGATAGCATTCTAGTAATCTCATCTAGTAGAAGCCTGAATAAGTCATTTTCAACTGCAAAATTTAAGTTGGCAAATTTTCTAAAACAATGGTAAGAACTGTGGTCCTTAGGTGCTATGAAGAGCATTCAAACCCTGCATTCAACAGGGGGAAGCCCTGCTCTGTCCTCTGGATGGCCGCCATGTTTGAGACCATTATGACAGCCACTGTGTCACTTCAACCGGTTGAAAGCTATTCCCTTTTCTCTTACTCTCCCCTTTTTTGAGCAAGATACTTTTTTTCTGGTGGCTCAGAAGTGTCATCTTAGGACACTACCTTCTATGGATAGAACCAGGATGTTCAGAAATACTAACATGACTTTTACACATAGTGCACGACCTGGAGATACAAAATGCTTCAGCCAAAGACCAGGATTGATGCCAAGTCTTGGACTGTGACATTCCTAGGATTATTATCACATGCTGTAGAGCTGAGAATATCCCTGAAGCATAACATACATGTCTGAAAAATGCACAGGACTGGATCCATGAAACAGGAAATGCAAGCCAGGGAAGGAGACACATTTCCTTAAAAGATGCTTTTGAGGATAACTGGGATGCTGGGATTTCCTGAGAAGACACAGTGTCATTTCTTATTCAAACAAGTGAAAATATGCCACTTTCCAAACCTCACTTCCCAAATCTCTTGTCAAGCTTGCTGCAAGAGTCTCATTGGCTTAGGAAACCACCCTAGAGTCTGTAAGGGCTCCAGGAGGAACTTCCAGCCTGACTTCATTCAGGAATCCAGGCAGGCTTAAAGCTCTTCCTCTTCAATGAAACCAATAAGGAAGTTTGCTGAGAGGTTAACTTGCCAGAGAATAAAATGTAAGTCCCCCACACTGAGAAGTTATAAATCTCTCTCTGGAAAAATGCCTATCAGCGGCTCAAGCCAGGCCAGCTTTTAAGAGCATTAAAGCGAATACACTAAGCCTAATATATTCACACATAACACATGTGGTGGCCGTTTCAGATGCTTCATAACTCAGAGGGCAACTGCTCCTGGGTGGGAAATGGATACTATGACAGGTGACCAGTGATTTAGATTGCAGTATTGATGGGGGAGTGGACAGCCAGGATGTCCAGGCACCTTGAGGTCCTGCCAGATACAGGGACAGCGGGGGTGTCTGAGGAGCTCTGGCCAGGAGGATGTTGGAAAGGTGGAGGGGAAGGGAGGAATTTTACGTCACCATATCCAGAGAAACTAAACTCTCTCAGATTGATTTCAGTAGGTAGACTTATTAGATGTACCTACTTCTTTGTCTATTCATTCACACTAATTATGAAGTCAGATTCTGGGGCTGTATTTGGTGTCTACATCTGTGGTGCACTTGGAATACAGAAGATGCCATTAATAAAAAACCAGCTCAAAAGCCACTCTCCTCAGCTCTCAACCCCAAGTCTCTGCTCCTGCTGTCCAGGGCTGCCCTTTGTTCTCTGACAACAATTTCCCACAAATTCACAGCAGCTCCAGACTTTATCAAGGGAGAGAGAAGGACTCCATACTATTGTGTTAGTCTCCATAATCCTTTGTTAGCAATCAACAAGATCTTTAAAACACCCTGATGAATGGGAAATTCACCGCCTGTAAACTAGACACTTGGCCTTATTAAGGGCACCTCCTACTGGTCTTTTCACGAAGTGAACTCTGTTTTTTCAGGAGCAATTTGCCTGCCAAGTTTCTAAAGAGGGAAAATCATTAAGAGGGAGAGGGGAAACTCAGATTAATGAGCGAGATTCAGCGTGACTCAGCCTCGTGTTATCTTGAAAGTGAACCACCCACTTCGCTCGGATCTTGGAAAATAGTACCGACATTTATTAACAAGAACGCAGATGAGAAGAGCAGAGAAGTTTAATGACTTTGATCCATTGCGAACCTATTCACAGGTATGAGGTATATTTTGATTTCAGAGACTTTTCTGTTGGCGAAGATGTTAACATGAACCAGTAATATAAGGACCCTAGGCAAGTAAATTGAGTGAGTAGAAAGGTGGATATTTAATTACTTCCGATATTAACAAAGTATCTAAAGCCTTTCCCTAGACCCTACACCCACCTTTGCACCAAAAACTGTCATTTGACAAATGGCTTGGAAATATTTTAATGCTATTGCTAAAACATTACTGTCCGTTTCCAAACAATGTGCTCAGCACAGCATTTTCAGCCAGTGCGCTTCACACCATCACTCCTTGAACCAGGTAGACCTCCCAGCCAGGAGGGCATGCAGCCTCTGAACTTCTACTCCTGGGTGGTCTGTCAAAGTCCCGGACAGCATGCAGTTCATTACTGCATGCTGTAAGGGGGTCCCTGTCGCCCCAGTCAGGCATCTCCTGGTCATGAGGAGGACACGCATTCGAAGGGGATACCGACCACCATCACCCCAGCCCCTACCTACCCACGTTCCGTGGGAGTAATTGCGGAGGACAAAGCTCCGGGAGACAGGAGTCAGGGGAGGAGGTGATCTGTCTGTGTGGAGGGAAGGGAGGCAGCTAGGGCGCACACGGATGTGGGTACGCGCGCGCACACACACACACACACACACACACACACACCTTCATCTCTCGCTCTCTCCCCAGCTTTCCCAGCAGAGGTGAAGAGTCTGTAACCCAGTGCCTGCGCCAGGCGTAAGGAACCATGAACTGGCTTTGACACTTGGCTGTCTGAATCTCATACCCTGGAGAGGGTCTGGGTGCCTGTGCCTCAGTCACCCTGAGCTATGCCGCACTTGGGGAGGACCCGCAAACCACGCTGGGCTCTGGGAGGAGCGGGCCTGGCCGCGATTCACATTCAATTTCCAAGGTGCAGGTTGGAATGCTTGGACCCCTACCCACAGGGGTTTGGGTTTTTGCGGGTTGGTTTGTTTGTTTCCTTTGGGATCTGGGAAAAGCTGGATTGCCAAGAGGTGTGACTGGCCGCGGCTCTCGCCTCCTTGCTGGGCAGGCCCGCTCCTTCTCCCGGGGCGCCCATCCACACTATGATGCCGCCCGGCAAGAAGAGGAGACGTACAATGTTGCGATTCGGTCTTTTTCAAGCTTGGGCTGTATGCCGAGACCGAGTCTGCAGCAGCCCTGAGCCTTGCTCAGTTCCCTCCGCCTCCTGCTCTAGCCCAATTCGGTCCTTAAGCAGTTTTGCCATTTTTAATTAGAAACTGCGCTTACCAAGCGCCATGGCAGAAGAGGCAGCTGCCCCGGACATCAATCATATAGAGTTTGGAGGTTGTTCTGGAGATATTAGAAGGCTTAGCTGACGAACGACACTCACTGTTAAAAGATTTTCATATAAAACAGAATAGCATACGTCCTCCGCCTCCTGGCAACACCACACCTCTCCTCTTTCCCCGCACGGATTCGCTTCTCTGGAAGTACCAGAACACATCAGCTGTCCGAAAACCCACACCTCAAGGCATTTATTGTCACACACAAGCCCCGTCAGCGACAATCCCGCACAGACTTCCTCAGAGCCACTTCGCTGCCGCCTCCAGCTGCCCTTGTAGCCCCGCTCCCCACCACCCCGTAGTAGATTTCCAAGGCTCTAAGGCTGAAACCTAGCTCGTCTCAAAGGCATCCCCAACACTGCCTCCTCTCTGCCCCAACCCGCCAGCTCTCCAAACCAAGGCAAGTATTTGCAAAAGCAAAGAAGCACCAAATTTAAAAAAAAATAAATTAAATAAAATAGAGCAAAGGGGCCCCTACTCCCTTGTCACCGGCACCCTCTGCCCCCAGGATAAAGAAGTGTGTGGTCTTTTATCATCCCTGAGAAATTCAATAGCACAGCAAGCGCCAAATACACAGAGATCCCTCAGGTTTCATCCCCAGACAAATGCAGGAAGAAGGTCCCGGGAAAGGGGACAGGAGAAGACAGGGTGCGACCAGAAGAAAGGAAAGAAATCTCTTACCGTTGACTTGAAGATGCGCGCTGAACAGGGAAGCCCCGAAGAGTACAAAAGCCAGCTTGGGTACCCAAAGACAGCCAAGACTATTCTCCATATTTCAGCCAACACCTCGGGGGCCGGGGGTCCTGGGCCGTGGCGCTCACACACATGCACTCACACACGCATGCACACATGCACACACTCGCGCCGAGCCCCTTCGCCTTCCTCTTCCTCCTCCTCCTCGGCCTCTTGCCCCACGTCTCTCTCCACCTCCCCCTGAGCCTCTGGCGCCTCCGGTGCCTCTGATGCCTTGTTCTCCGGCCACGGGCAGAATCAGTAGCAAGAGGAGGCAGCAAAAAGTTCCATTCGGTCCAAGAGCTTCGGAGCCCCGGGAAAACTAACCCGAGGAAATAGGGAGCGAGGGGAGCACGGCTGGCTTTCGGTGGGGCGCACGAGGCATCAAGAGACACAACATCCAGGGGGAAACCGGGACCCAGAGCGGATGGCGAGCAATCCCGGGCTGGGCTGTGCGCTCGGAGGATGAGGCTGGCGCCGCGTAAAGTTGAAGAGGAAAATCCACAAGCGAAGGTGGTGGGGCCGCTGCTTTTCCCCCTGCAGGATCCGTGGGAGCCGGAGCCGCGAGAGGAGAGGCCGGGGGGCTGCAGGGCGCGCGCGCTCACTTGTTACTGGGGTGTCCGCCGGGCGGTGAGTGAGCCCAGAGTTGGAGCCATACCCTCCATTGATCCGGAGAAGTGGAGGGCTGCGAGGGAAAATGTGGAGACCGGAGAGAAACGAACTGGATCAGGCTACGATTCCACGGAGAGGGGGGGAGAGGGGAGAAAGGCTGGCGAGGGGAGAACAGAGCGAGCGGCCGCAGGAGGCTCCCAGGGCCGCCTTCCCCGGCTGCCTCTCCACGAGCAGGGATGCCCTCTGTGGGCAAAGCGTGGGAAGTCACTTTTCTCAATGGAGCTGGTGAAAATCTGCGCGTCTGGGGGATTTGCAGTGAGCATTTTGGACGCTCCTCTGCGGGGAGGGAGGAGGATTCCTTTTAGTTGATGGTGAAACCGAGGAGGCAGGTGTTTAAACAGGGACCAGTGGCCCCAAACACTGACTGCTTCTCTGCCTTCAGATTTCTTGAAAAGTGAGACGTGGACACATGGAAAACCCAAATCCCAGCGCACAGACCTGAAAAAGCCCGGTCCTTGCGTCCTAATGTTTCAGCCAAAGGGTTCTTTTTACAGAGCATCTCATTTCTTCCATGTTCTGTCTCCCACTGACAAGACTCAGTGATCGTTTTTGAAGCATTTGCCATAGTCCTTGGGTCTCTGTTAGCTCCCAGGAAGATTTAAAAAGATCCCCTCTGGTTTAGAAAGATTCCCTTTCTGGCCTCATGGGGTTTGAAATCTCTCTGCTGGGAGAGAAACATCGATTAAAAATTGCAAAATACCATGATAAATATGATGGTCTGTGTAATAGGAGATGCTTAGGGACACAAACTGAAAGAAACCCACACATACACACAAAACAAACACAGCAAGAAACCCAGGAAGGGTGGACAGTGACACTTTGCATTGACTAAGAATTTCCCTCTGCTAATCTAACCTCCAGGAGCTCTGGTTGAGGAAAATGATTAAGCTCTCAACTGCTAACTGACAGGTTGGAGGTTTGAATCCACCTGCTGGTATAGTCCATACAGAGTTGCTAAGGCCAGGCTGCACCTCTCCTGTGCTCTGATTCTCCTTCTGAGATTGATAACCTTAGTGGTCATTTGGAGAATCAGCTATTAGTAGGTTCAGATTCCATAGCAAGGAATCTGGGTTTGAGTTTCAATGATTCCAGGAGACAAAATCTTGGTAATCTACTCCTATAAAAATACTGTCCAAAAACTCCCATGTAGACACTTGCACCTTGTTGAATAGGATTGCAATAGGTTGAAAACATCTCAGTGATGCCCAATAACAGTAATCGTGTGTGCACTGGGAGACCCCAAGATCTTTGGAAGTGGAGGTTATATGCAATTCAGCTTTGCACCCTGCAGGTATGTGTTAAGCCAACCAGAGGACTTAGAGTACTCAAAACTCTGTGTTGACAATAGACTTGTTGAGCAGTGAACTTACAAACAGGTGAATTTGGTCATAAAACATGATGAACAGAACTGCTGCTGGAGAAAAGGTTTTGTCTTTAAGGAGCTGCTGGGCATTAGGGGCTCCCCGGTTTGCAGGGAGAGGGGCTGGCGGTGTCTCCATTCCTCACTGGATCACATGGGCTACTCATTCTGCTCCTCATACCTCTTTGAAACTCACCACGATCCAAGGGAAGAGAATCCAAATAAATATTTTTTTTAAAAGGGAAGAATGAATGAAAAAAAATCCAGGCTAAAAAGTTGGTATCACTTGAACTGGACGAAAGCATTTCTAGACCATTGGTGTTGCTTTTTGTACTAGAGAAGTTAGAATAAGAAGTACAAGGACTTTTTTATTCCCCCAAAATTTATTGTGTTTGAGTGAAAGGTTACAAAGTGTTTTCAATCACACAGGAATACTTTATTTCATAACATCTACTATCACATCTATGGTGTCTAATTGTGTATATTCTATATTGTCTTTCTTCACCTGTATTTTTTTTTCTGTAGAATATGAAGCTCAGCTTTTCTTCCTAAGCTGTTTCTAGTCTTCCTTGCTTCCTTTACCATTCCACTAGAAGAAGAAGAAGAGAAAGAGGAGGAGGAGGAGGAAAAAGAGGAGGAGGAGGAGGAGGAGGAGGAAGAAGAAGAAGAAGAAGAAGAAGAAGAAGAAGAAGAAGAAGAAGAAGAAGAAGA